GGCCTTGGGGACAGGTGTGTGTGGGTCTACTACCACCCTGTTGGTGCAGCCACTTCTTGATCATGTACAACCGCTGACACTGGGGGCACCTAGCATGAGGCAGGAGTGGAGGAGGCATGGCAGGTGCTGCCTTGAGCTGAGTAAAAGGCTACATGTCTGCTTAGAGGAAGCATGAAGCCTGGAAGAGGGGCAGAAGAGGAAGGAGCAAGCACTACAGGGATTGCGATGTGCCCTGGAGTCCTGCTACTCATCCACTATGGTGGTTTGTGGTATTTAAAACAAATAGAGTGAAATAATAAACAGAAGGAAAGTTGGTTTCCCTTAACCACACACACACACACACACACACACACACACACACACACTTAAGGGACCATGGACATATATGTGGAGGGACATTCCCCAGCAGTTGTTAATCGATGCATACTTACATATATTTAAGGCTGGGGTTCAAAGTTTGTGAATTCAGATCCCAGCTCTTCCACTTACCAGCTATTATGGCAAGTTATGCATGGTCCTGGAGCCTTGTGTTCTCATCCTTAATGAAACCCGCAGGTTTACTCTGAGATTTGAGTGAAAGGAGTCTATAGAGCACCTGGTGAGGTGCCTCACCCAGCAGGAATACAATCATTTTTATATAGTATGCACATTTATTCAATTGATTAAACCTCATGCCTGAGTTTGCACCAAATTTTGTTCCTCTAGTAGAAGGTAAGGAGCCCTGATGGTACAGTGGTTAAATGCTCAACTGGTAACTGAAAAGTTAGCGGTTCAAGCCCACCAGTCTCTCCATGGAAGAAAGATATGACAGACTACTTCTGTAAAGATTTACAGCCTTGGAAATCTATGGGGCCAGTCGGAATTAATTTGTGGGTAATAGGTTTGATTTTTGGGTTTTAGAAGGTATGCACGATAAGAAAGACCAGCAGTCTAGCTGGCTTTGCAGGGTTTTCTCTGCTCTTGGTAAGTTAAAACCAAACTCACCATCATCGAGTTGGTTCCAACTCATAGACCACCCCTCCGCATTGGTTTCCAAGGCTGTAAGTCATTACAGAAGCAGACTCCCTGAGGAAACACCAACCTTTTGGTTAACAGCCAAATGCCTTACGACTACACCATCAGAGCTCCTTTATGAGTGAGTTGGAGAAATTTAAATAATGTTTGCTATAAGGTCAACCATTTGTGAACTTAAAAAAAAAGAATACTCTTTCAGTACTTTGCAGGAACATAGCTTTGAGCACAAGCAATAGAAAGCAAATACATACATAAATATATATGTATGCTTTCTTTGGCTGTACTATCCAGAAATTTCCTTCTGATTCTCAATTTTTTGTGTCTATAACAAACTTTAATTATAAATCTCAGGTTGATTTCAAGCTACTCTCAACATTCATCTTATACCAGGTGATCTAAAAAATATCTAGTTGTATAATATTCTCCAGTCTACAAAAAATAATATCCTGCTTTATTGAATAAACCTGGAGAAAGTTTATGTCTTGAACAAAGATGAGTGTTTTTTCTGGTTACCTAGTGCCGCTAAAGCAAGAATATACCACAAATAGGATGGCCTTAACAAACAGGAGTTTATTCTCTCACAATTTGGAGGCTTTCAGTCCAAGTTCAAAGTGCCAGGCTCTAGGGGCTGGATGAAGGCCCCTCAACCTTGGGGTCCAGCTATGCCTCCTGCTCCCGGCCCACTGGATCTAGAAGCGTTTCTTCACTCAGACAGCTGAGGCTGACAAACCCAAGGTCAACAGATAAAAAGGCACAGACCCGATGTTACCAAACCACACGGCAGGCCATTAATTTAAGTTATTTGTAAGTCCCAAGGTCAGCAGAGCATGGCAGGCTACTGAACAACATGGCTACATACAGGGTCCAAGCGTGCCATAAGCTAGAGACCATTCCCAAAGCTGCTTCTTATATACAGGAAGCAAACCACATACCCAAAACAGCTACTCATCTGCTTGTGGTAGATCCCACCATGGAGTTGATTGCCAGTCTCATCATGGGGAATAACTTAACACCAGCTGCCCAGCCACTCAACCAGGCCCAGGCATGTTGACACACAAACATAACCACCACAAGTGTATATGTCTTGAAGGGTGCCAGAAACACTTTTGCATCATAACCTGTTTGTTTTAAGCATGTTTACTCTGTAAGCTGAGCTAATTATTAATTGATAAGATATGAGGCAGAAAGCTGTTCTTTTAGGTTACCCATATCCTTGATTCAAAGTCACTGAGACTTTTTCAGAAACAGCATCTAAAACCTCAATTTAATTCAAGTATGTGTACAAATGGGAATATGTTCTGGCTTCCTGGGCAACCAGGGAAGACAGTTTACCATGATATGTGAGGCTATTGTTGTTGTTGTTGTTATGTGCCATCCAGTCGGCCCCGACTCATAGCGACCCCTCCTTGGGTTTCCGAGGCAGTATCACTACGGAAGTAGATTGCCCCATCTTCCTTCCGAGGAGTGGCCGGTGGGTTTGAACCACCAGCCTTCTGGTTAGCAGTCAAGTGCCTTAGCCACTATTCTACCAGAGCTCCTATGTGAGGCTATTACTTACCTAAAAAAAAAAGCTTTTATTTTCACAACTTGAGTCATGAACTACATTTTTTTCTTAAAAGTTCAGTTAAAATGTATTGATATTTGAGCTCTGAAGTATAAAGGGACTGACAGTCCAACTTGGTGGAAATATGTTGGGGTAAAATATACAGAAAAACCAAGAATTAGGTATTAGCATAAATGTCTCTAATATTGAATTATGAGGTCTAATTGCTAAAATATCAAAAGGAAGAGTGCTAAATAGAAATTACAATGAGAAGTGCATTTATTTTTAATTCATTAAGAGAACTAGAAATTGAACCTGGTAATTCTGAAATTGAAAAAAAACAGGCCTGGTCCAAGAACTGGGGGTAAATGGAATCCTGTGCGATGACTCCACCTAGTGGACAAAGTCATGCAATCCTACTCCTTTCCCCCTTTAACCAATGGAAGCAACTTTAAGACAGTGAAAATCACTTTGGATGATTAACTGATCACCACAGATGGGAAAGTAATAAATTAGAAAGTTCATTTTATCTGCTATAAGGTAAACCATTTAAGGAATTTCTTATTGCATTTAGATTTTCAAAATTTATTAATTCATGAAAGACCACATCTACATTCACTACTTATCAAAGTATTTCACAAATATTTGTTCATTTGATTATATCTGCACTGCATGTCAAGATGTTTAATCAGCTAGCTGGATTTTAGATGGAGGAAATAAATGGCCTTAGGAAAAAATGACTCCAGGTAACAAATATGGTAATTATAAACAGAAAGAAAAAGACCAGAGTCTTAAAACTCTTGTTAGAGTTTTGGTTAAGTAATTAATTTTGATCCTGCTTTGTTTTGATATGTATTTTATTTATGTTACAAAGCAAGTAACTTTCCTGTACCTCATTTCTTCATTTGCAAAATGAAGACATGTTAATACTTGATAAAATTTTCTTGAATGCATGATCATTCCTTAAAAAAGTATCAAGAAATAGTAGCCAGCTCAACCCCAGAAGGTAGGTGGGGTTATAGTCAAGAAAGTCTGCCTGGATAGTTCACAGATACAGGTTAATTCCAAAGGTTTATTTTCCTGAACAGATTTGTTGTGTTGTACATGCTGTGAAGTATTTCCTGCAACCGAAGTCTTACGGAAGTATTTGGTTGATCCAGGTTAAAACATGAGTGAGAATTAATAAGCAAGGGAGGAGGGTGGAGAACAAGAGGGCATGCCAAGTCGGGATTGTCAATATGGAGATGTAGGGCAAATTTATGGACAGAGGATTTGATAAACGAGGGTTCTTTGGGACTCTAAAGGGTATCCCCCAAAGGGATGCTGATCCTGAAAACTAGAGTGATAGGAGGAGCCCCAGGAAGTGTTAACGCCTGGAGGGCCCATACACTTGACACACTTGGTTAAAAACTGCCCTTTTAGTTTCATCCTCCAATGAATGAGTGCATTGCTTGGGTTTAATGTGAGGCTGGTGTGGATTTCTTCAATGGAGTATATAATTTGATTATATTTATCAAACAAATTGTGAAGAATACTGTATGGGTACATTAAACATCAGAGAATGGAGTGATTGATGTGGCCAAGAGGTGTTGTGAATGAAACAGTGACTTCCAAAAATGAAATTCTATAACTTATTGTAGCTGTTGTTGTTATTTGCCATCGAGTCGGCCACAACTCATCGTGACCCCTCCTTGGGTTTCCAAGGCAGTATCACTACGATAGTAGGAATGCCCAACCTTCCTTCC